GTACCACAGAAACAGAAAGAGCCAGATGTGAAGCTGTGGCTCATGTGGTAGAGTGCTAAAACAAGCCTTGAATAAAAGAGGCTCAGGGACAGTCCCCAGTGCCCAGTTCAAACTCCAGGACTTGAATCTATATCTATATAGATATAGATACAGATACTATATCTATATCTATATCTAGATATTCTTTTTTTCCCCAATCAGTCCATATGTCATCTACAAAACAACTAACCTTTTTTTTTTTTTTTGGTAAGTTGTGGGCTTGAACTCTGGGCCTGGGCTCTGTCCCTCAGCTCTTCAGCTCAAGGCTAGCACTCTACTACCTGAGCCACAGCACCACTTCTGGCTTTTTCTACTTGTGCGGTACTGAGCAATCAAATCCAGGGCCTCCTGCATGCAAGGTAAGCACTCTACCACTGAGCTACCTTCCCAGCCCCTAACCAAATTTCTTACCATACCTCTTAAGGCTTTTCATAATACAGCTCTTCTAGCTTCATCTCTCATTATATCCTTTCATCTATCTGTAGTCTAAAAATTCCAGACTTCCACTATCAAAATATAGCTTTCATATTATTGCATTTTTTCTTTTCTTTTTTAAGATGAAGATTGTTTATTCATTCAATCAGCTTTTTTTGTGATACTGAGATTTGAACTGAGGACCTTTTCCTTCTTGGCAGGTGCTCTAGTACTTGAGCCACAACTCCATCTCTCATCCAATCATCTTTTAAACAAACTTTGACATTAAGTCTCTCTTTTTGTGTGGTGGACAGGATTGACTTATTTGTATATGTTAGCCAAGTATTCTACCACTGAACTATGTCCCCAGTCCTGTCTTTCTTTCTTTTTTTTTTTTTTTGAGTGGGGGCAGGGAGGAAAAACAATACTGGAGTTTAAATTAAAGACTTCATGTTTGCTAAGCAGATGATCTATTGAGTGTTTTTGCTTTTTTGTTGTTGTTGGGCTTGAACTCAAAGCCTGGGCACTGTCTCTGAGCAATTTTGCTCAAGGCTAGTGTTCTGCCACTGTGAGCTGCCACAGGGCCACTTTTGGTTTTCTGGTGGTTAACTGGAGATAAGAGTTTCACAGGGGCTTGGGAATGTAGTTTAGTAGTAGCGTGCTTGCCTAGCATGCATGAAGTTCTGGGTTCGATTCCTCAGTACCACATACACAGAAAAAGCTGAAAGTGGCATGGTGGCTCAAGTGGTAGGCATTTAATCCTTATGTCCAGATGCCTTTTTTTTTTTTTCTTAATCAGTCACGGGGCTTGAAACTCTGGGCCTGGGCACTGTCCTTGAGCTCTTCAGCTCAAGGCAAGCACTCCATCACTTGAGTCACAGCACCACTTCTGGTTTTGTGGTGGTTAATTGCAGGTAAGAGCCTCACGGATTTTCCTGCCTGGAGTGGCTTCACACCATGATCCTCAGATCTCAGCCGCCTGAGTAGCCAGGATTACAAGCGTGAGCCACTAGTACCTAGCTTAGTTAGTTATTGGTTGTGGGGCTTGAACTCAGGGCTGGGCCTCTTTGTACTCAAGGCTAGTGCTCTCTCTGCCATATAAGCCATAGAGTTAATTGGAGATAGGAGTCTCATGGGGACTTTTCTGTCTGGGCTGGCTTTGAACTTCAATCCTCAGATCTCAACCTCCTGAGTAGCTATGATTATAGCCCTGAGCCACCGGCTCAGCATTTCTTTATAATATTCTCCAATCTAGAATTTCTCATGCTTTTGTTTTCTATGCTGTGGAATATAAAAGGCAAAATGTTTTTTCATACTTCAGTAAAGCTACTTATCCCAGATTTTGTTTAAAATGCAGATGCCTGATTTTTACTCAACAGGTTTGAGAAGGTGGGGATAAGGTTCAGTGGTACTGTGCTTGCCTAGAGTGTGTGAGGCCCTGAATTTGAAGCAGAGCACCATTTTCACAAGTTATTTGCTGGGCTAATAGCAGGAGAGGTTGTTGCAGGCAGATCATGAGTTTGAAGTCTGCATGGACTACATAGTGAGACTTCCATCTCAAAATAAAAATATAAAAATAATGGTCTGGAGCCAGGCGCTGGTGGCTCACGCCTGTAATCCTAGGTACTCAGGAGGCTGAGATCTAAGGATCGCGGTTCAAAGCCAGCACGGGCAGGAAAGTTCGTGAGACCCTTATCTCCAATAAATTGCTAGAAAACCCGAAGTGGCGCTGTGGCTCAAGCGGTAGAGTGCTCGCCTTGAACTGAAGAGCACAGGGACAGTACCCAGGCCCAGAGTTCAAGCCCCATGACTGACAAAAAAAAAAAAAAAAAAAGGTCTAGGAAACACTTTGGAATCTGCCTTTTCAACAAGCACTCAACTAATTCAGTCTAACACTAGGGTCCATATGTTGAAAAATATTACTATGTGAAAAGAAAGACTATCTGGGTTTGCTTCCTAGATCTACTAGTTATTAATTACGCAACATCAGAAAAATCACTAGGCTTTCAAGAATATGGATCGGGAAGAGCTCTCCCTGTCCAGGACATCAGAGCTTGCTGTCTTGGGTGCATTTTCAACCCCTCCCTGCCTCCAAGCATTAATAAAGTGGCTTTACCCTTTCCCCAAGCCCCCCGACCTCAAAAAAGAAAAAAAAAATCACTGGAGGGATGTAACTGGTGGAACTAGGGAAAGATGGCAGAGTAGAAAGTTTCCTCTGTTTAACTTAATAAACGAGAAGGGTCAGGTAAAACAGGAAAGACTATATTCTGAAGAGAGAGAAAAGAAGAAGAAAATCAGAAAGATGCTCTTCAGGACAATTGAAGAGCATGAATAAACAGAAAGGTAACAAAGAAAAAATAGTAAAGAGTCTACAGCTCCAGCCTCTTTCAGGAGAGAATGCTTGAAGCCTCTATTACAAGGTAAGGTAGGCAGCCTTGGTGATAGACTGGCAATCCTAGCTACAGACAAGCCCATACTTTCCCCAAGCCTTAAACCCAGTATATACACTTTTGTGTAAAAGTGACTTCTCCTACATGGCAGATTAACATCAGCAGTGAAACTCTCAGGGGATGGGTGCTAACCCTGAGCATTCTTGGTCAAAGCTACTGCTCTACCACCTAAACCATAGCTCCACTTCCAGCTTTTTGGTGATTAAATGGAAATAAGAGACTCATGGACTGGCTTGGAACCATGCCCCTCGGATCTCAGCCTCCTGAATAGCTACTATTATGGTGTGAGCCACAGTGCCTGGCTACAAGAAGCCTTTGGCAAAATTAAACATCCCTTCTGAAGAAAGAAATAAAAGACATGCAAATCGAAAAAGAATAAGTCAAATTATCTCTATTTTCAGATGATGTAATTCTGTAGTTAAAAGACAAAATATGCACGACTCATGGTGGGTGCTTGTCCATTGAGCACTGAGTTCAAATTCAAGTACTACTAGGATAATTAAGACCCTAAGCAGGGCTGGAAATGAGGCTTAGTGATAGAGTGTTTGCCTAATATGCATAAAGTCCTGGGTTCAATTCCTCAGTACCACATAAACAGAAAAAGCCAGAAGTGGTGTGGTGGTTCAAGTGATAGAGTGCTGCGTTGAACAAAAGAAGCTCAGGGACAGTGCCTAAGCTCTAAAACTTTTTTTTTTTTTTTAGTCCAGTCGTGGGGCCTAAACTCTGGGCCTGGGTACTGTCCCTCAGCTCTTCAGCTCAAGGCTAGCACTCTACCACTGGAGCCACAGAGCCACTCCCGGCTTTTTTCTTTTTGCTTATGTGGTGCTAAGGAATCGAACCCAGGCCTCAGGCATGCAAGGCAAGCGCTCTACCACTGAGCCACCCTCCCAGCCCCTCTAAAACTTTTATATACTATGGTGGGAATTAAAGTTAGTGTAGCTACTATAGAAATCAGTATGGCAGTTCCTCAAAACACTAAAAATAGAACTACCATATGATTCTGCTGTGCCATTTGGGCTATACCCTACAGGAATGCAAGTCAGTATACAATAGAGATATCTGCTTATAGCAAATACACCTATTCATAGATATCCATTTTTAGCAGAACTATTTATAACAACCAAACTGCAATTTCCCTAGGTATCCATAAAAAGATGAATAGACATACAAAGTATAGATAGATAGAGAGAGAGATAAATAGAAACCTTATATTTTCCTGTCTGTGTCATAAATGCTTGGAAGGTAAGGACACTTTTTTGTTTTGTTTTTGAAACAGTCTCATTATATAACCCAGGCTGGCTTTAACTTGAAATCTTCCTGCACCTGCCTCCTGAGTGGTAGGAATATAAACATGTGTCACCTAACCCAGCTGGAATTTTGTTTTTGTTTTTGTTTTTGGTCGTGGGGCCTGAACTCTGGGCCTAGGCGCTGTCCTTCAGCTCTTCAGCTCAAGGCAAGCGTCTTGATCCACAACACCACTTCCGGCTTTTTCTGCTTATGTGGTGCTGAGGAATGGAACCCGGGGCCTCATGCATGCAAGGCAAGCACTCTACCACTGAGCCACCTTCCCAGAATTTTAATATATTAAAATTTTAATATATTAAATGAAAATTGTAATATATTAAAATAGTAATAAGAAAAAGGCACTGGTTTTCTCACACCTGTAATCCTAGCTACTCAGGTGGCTGAGATATGATGAGGATCACAGTGCAAAGCCAACCCAGTCAGGAAAGTCCATGAGACTCTTACCTACAGTTAACCACAAGAAAACTGGAAGTGGCACTGTGGCTCAAAGTGGCAAAGTGCTACCTTCAGTGAAAGAGCTCAGAGACAGAACCTAGAACCTGAGTTCAAGCCCCACGAATAACTGACAAAAAAAAAAAAAGCAGTAACACTAGTGTAATACTGGTGAGCTCAGTGTGAATTTGTTAGCCATATAGATTATGGAAGATTATTTACAATGGAACTAGATTAAGGTCTCAGTAAAGAAGCCTTCCATCTTCTATCCCATAACTACTTATTAGGAATTGAAAGAAACTGATTAGCTGAGTTAGGTTCAGTAACTGTACTAATCTAATTCTTATTAATTTTTTCAAG